TTTATTTCTATAGCAAACATACAAAAAAAGATTTTTATTTTTTCAAAATTTTAGTAAAAATATAATATCCTTTAATAACACAATGCCAACAACAAAAATTTTAAATCATAAGAATATCAAAGACAAACCTCCATTTAAAAAAATGTATTTTAAAATAGGACAGCTTAAGATCGTAATATGGAGTAAAAATCATTATTTTAATTAAAAATAGAACAGATTAAGTCCAGTAACATTCCCGACGGGCATTTGTTTTTAAAAGTTACGATTTAAATGTATTTTAAATGTCTTTTAAACGTCTTTGAAACATTAATGTTTAAAAGACGTTTAAAAGACGTTTAAAACTCATTTAGAACGTAACTTTTAAAAACAAATGCCCGTCGGGTTACTGAGAAATGGTTACATTTTTATTTTTATATGGGAAACAATAACAGTTTATTTACTTTCTTAACACATTTCAATGGCCTAATGTTACTTTTGATAAAATAAATATTAAGTTCCTTCAAGTCTATAAATAATTTAAAAATTTTTTCTAAAATGTCTCTGCTGTAATAATTGCATTGAAATTTGTCACATTTTCAATGCAATTATTACAGTTTATTAACAATAAAAACTACGCCACCTTGCACTAAAAAACAACTATCTTTAGCTTTAGTAGATATTGCAGTACTAATAACCTTTTAAAACCACAATGCCGTAATACGAAAGAAAGCTCCGCAACTCAGTTGTTTTCCATTGATCCAGCTCAACTAAAGACCAAGGTTATCGTATGAGTTCGGTAGGTAGTTTTCCTCCTAACAGTAGCAGATTATGAGAAAGTTGCATTATTTGTGTAGAGGACAGTCTTCCATTAAATATACCGTTATAATGCCCTTTAAAATAATTCAAAACTCTGTGTGTTACTCCTAGGTATGCCATGTGCATATAGTTTAAAGTAAAAATATTTACCATTTTATTATTTAATTGAAGGAAAATAAATAATAGGAGTCTGATGACATTTGCCTGATAAATCAAGTAATCCATAACTATAGGTGTAGAATAGTTTATTAGTTTTCATAAAAATATTTTTCTCTGCATAACTGTAGCACAAACGACGTTTAAAATCAAAACCTTTCTTGGTACATCTTTCACAAGCATAATAACTTGTGTGCTGAACTATTCCTTTTAACCAAGCCCTGACTGGTGCATCACAGGTTATAGCAAAAATAGAAACAAAATAACTATTATCGTTAAATATAAAAGGTTTGGATGTAATTAAAATAACTTCATTTACAAAATTTTTCAAGAATTCTTTTATAGGTGGTTTTTAATGTCCACAATAAAAAGTAACAGCAACGGGATCAAAATTTCTAAACAGTTCAATTTTTGAGACAATTTTAAAGAATTGTATCAGCCACAATTCCATGATCTGATACCGAGTCAGAACTAACACTTTGATAGTGTTTAGTATTTTGAATATGTAGAACATTGCTTTTGTCAATATTATTTAATTCTTGAGGTGAAATTAAACATTAATTAAACATCAGTACATAAACTTACCTAGATGAATGTTTTAAATTTTATTGTTTAGATAGATCTAGAACCGCACTCCTTTTTTTTCTCCAATGTATAAATCTTAAAAAATAGAAAAAAAAACAACAACTAGTAATAATTGTATTTTAAGTAACTCCTTCATTTTAAACTCAGTTTTTTAAGCGCATATTTTACAAAATGAATAACAATGAAAAATACGATAAACTATTTTGTTTACATTTTTCACTTCTGGATTTTTCAACCATGTACAACAATTAAAAATATTTAACAAATTCAATTAATATTTTAATAATTTATATTAAAATATTTGCATATTTCTAAAATTCATATTTATAATTCATGTAAAATACTTATAAATAATAAACAAATAAATTATAAAGTAGAAGATCTATGAACTTCATTTATAATAAAGGATACAACTCATTGGATATAACTGTGTTATAAAAAGTAGTTCATTTATCGAATTATTTAAGAGTTTAAAATTGAATATAAATATAAATTCATAAAGAAGTTAAAACAATAACCCACCTTTTGTTATTTACAAAGTTTTTTGCAGATCGTTTCATTTTAAATTTATTGTTAAAAAAATAAATTAAAAACTAAAGGAAACAATTTTAGCTCGTAAAGCAAATGGCCGTCAATTTCAATAATCACAGTGTTTGGCTTAAGTTTGCGTAACATTTGAAGCATGACCAACTAAACTTCCCAGTAGGCAGGGACGTAAAAAAGACGTTTTTTAAACGTCTTATACCTGTTTTAGACGTCTTTTAAACGTTTTGGACGTCTTTTGAACGTTCAAAAGACGTCTTTTTTTGATCCAGTGCCCACTGAGATAAACGTCATTTGGACGTCTATTGGACGTCCACAAAAAACCTAAACGTCCATTGGAGGTCCGGTTCTTCAAACGGACCTCCAATGGACGTATATATATATATATATATAGTATATAAATAACTTTATATATTTATATATTGTACAACATTCAAAAATTATGTATTATTTGGATTTTATGATATTACTTTTATCAATTGAGTAATTATAATACGACCCTATATCTTCTTCTGCGCCTCACCCTCACAACAAATGTATGTTGTAAGCTAATAAAATATCGTTTTCATTTTTAATACTAGTTTTTCTCATTTTATTAAGGATAAAAATAGTTTTGAAAAAGAACCAGTTTTGAGGGTAACAGTTTTGAGGGTAACAGTTTTGAAGGTAACAGTTTGAGGGTAACATTTGAGGGTAACAGTTTGAAATAAACAAAAAAGTTCTTCAATAACACTATCGTACGGCAAAAATTAATTTTCAACGTTGGTCGCATTTTTCTTATGAAGTCCATACCAATCATAATTTCTTTTATAATTATCAAACTTTTTGTAAAATATTCGACACTCAACTCAGAATAAACTGTAACCATTTTTTTCAGTACGTACATTGACAGAGATATATTTTTTGTGTGATTGATGAATGTAAAAATGACACTTCCGATTCTGCTGTAAATGTTTTAACAACATACTAAAAAATACAACAACTTTATGTAATTGAATCTTCTTTTTTGTGGTGTAAAAGAAATTATGTGAGATGGTGCTGCGGAAATCGGACATGATCTAAGCACTGTTATTTTTAATAACAGTGTTTAAAGGCAAGCTTCGCTACATAAATTATTTAGGGGCTGAGGAGAGTCAGAATTATTAAAATGTTAAACATATTAAATGTTAAAGATTTCTACCTGGCTGGGAATCCCAGCCAGGTAGAAATCTTTCCAGTCTGGAAAGTAAAAAAACATGATTGTGTCGGATATATCAAAAATATATTTGTGCCAGATTACAAAAACTGAAAAAAAAGTATAGAGACCTATGTGAAAAAATAAATTATTAGATGCGACTATTTTTTTTTTTTTTTATTTTTTGTTATTTAGGCGCCCCAAGAAGACCTTACGGTCTTGCGACAGAGGAAGTGCATAAACCAGAGGTGTTAACTTTCTGGTTTAATGCACTTCCAACGTGGAAATGCATTAAACCAGAAAGTTAACGCCTCCTTTCTTACCGTGACGCGAAATTATGTCCAGAGTTTGTTTCGAACCTAGATCTTCTGCTTCTAAAGCAAGTAACTTTTTATTCGAAAAGTCTCAATATATGTCTTTAACTCTCTAGTGGAGCACATTCATAAAAAAAGTTGTAAAAACCTAAAGACTTTAAAGGTCCGTCGCGTGACAAATATAGACATTTGATTAAAAACATGTCGCAACGGAAAATTATTTTCAGCAAAAAAAAAAAAAAAAAAAGAATAATTGATGAAAAAGAAGGAAAGTTGTATAAAGTAAAAAGTTCCTTTTACTTTTAAAGTTTGCTTCAAACTTAATCTGTTTTGAAGTTTTATGTGCAAATTTTTTTTTTTTTGCGTTTTTTTAAAGAAATCTTTTTTCTTACGCCGGCCATTCTATTTCAAGGAATGGTTTTACTGAAATTCGAGGTGTTTATTATCTCATTATTAACTATGTTTTAAATAAATAGTGTTTAACTCTGAGGTTTAGGTTTTGTTATTTTTAATATTTTGTATAAGAAAATATTTTCATTTTTAAATATGTTTTAAATAAATAGTGTTCAACTCTGAGGTTTAGGTTTTGTTATTTTTAATATTTTGTATAAGAAAATATTTTCATTTTTAAATATGTTTTAAATAAATAGTGTTTAACTCTGAGGTTTAGATTTTGTTATTTTTAATATTTTGTATAAAAAAATATTTTAATTTTTAAATATGCAAATAGCTCTTATACTTTTTAGTAACATGTAAATGCAACCAATAAATGATCTTTTAACTTTTTTTGTAGCATTTGTTAAAAGATTATTAGGAGATCTTGCGCTGTTATTTAGGTTTTACGACCAGTGTTAATGCATTTTAAGCTCTTTTTTTTTGTGCGATTTTTGTAGTTGCTATAGTTACCAAAAAAATTTTTTTTTTTTTTCCAAGGAATTTGTTAATTCGTATTTTATATACATTCTTGACGTAGTTTTAAATGATTGCTTTTCGTACTCTTTTCTTACAAAGTTCAAAACGTTTTTTTTTTTTTTTTTTTTTGAGTAACAGGTTTAAAAATAAATTTGAAATATTTTTACTTTGAAGGAAATCACGGCCTTACTTGCATCCACAAAGTTAAACCTAAAACTGAACCAAAAAAGCGTAACTTAATTATGCGATATAAAAATATTTTTATATCTCAAATATTTAAATTAATATAATAATGGTTTTGAAATAGCAAAACATTATTCTTAATTTTAAAAACTTAAGTGACTTAAGTTTAAAAACTTAAGTGACATAAGTGTCTAAAATGTTAATATTGACATAAGTGTCTAAAAACATAATCAAAAAAAAAAAACAACGTGAAATGTATATTTTCAGAGAAAACATTTTTTTTTTCTTATAAATCAAAAATAAAACTTTCCCAGGGGAAGTTTTATTAAAAAATTATCCTTTTTTTCATAGTTATTATTAAAAAATATTTTATAAAAAAATCAATATCATGATTTGGTTTAAAAAAGGTTAAAACACAACTACAAAGTAAGAATTATTGGTATTCAGTTAATTTTGTTTGTAAACCTTTTGTCATAACAGTACTTTAAGATTAAATTTATTAGTCTTAGTTATTTATAATATATTTTATCAAAAGAAAACAAAATTTGTGTCACAAAAAAAAGTTTAAAATGCAATATATATATTTATAATAACTATATCTATACAAAATATATTATAAATTCCTCTTTTAGAGCATAGATGTTACAACGTCTGGTCTTATGTTCCGTCGTTTTTACGGGATTAATAATTCAAGCAAGTTTTAATATCAAATGCTCGTCAGATAAAACCACTTTCTACAGCGAAATAGAAGAAATGGTGCTCTCGTGCAAAGACTTTTGTAGCTGCGGTGATTCATCTGTCTTTCATATTGGCTGTAGAGAATGTTGTTGTTTTTCATCAATGTATTCTCACAAAAATTAAAAAATTCGCAAACTTTTATATGATTTTGTAATAAATAACATTTTTTTAAAAAAAAGTTTACAGAAATTGTTTAAAATAATGAACTTTCTAGTAGTCTTTAAAAGTATCAAAAATGTTAAACGAGAGTAAAAACAAAAATAGTATTTTAGTAAATGTAAAATAAAATCAATGAAAAAAACCACTGAAAAAATAATAAAAATGTGAAGAATGGAAAAATCAAAATAGTGTCAAAAATGCAATAACTAACACTTAAACAACGTCGCAGCTACATCAAAAATGCAATGACAGAAAACATTAAAACAGTAAATATTTAGAAAATAAATGCCTGATGCTCGTTTGCTTAATGTTCCTGATAATAATATACAATTGAAAATGTATATTGTTAACAGACAGACCTAATTTGGTTTACATTTTATTCTTGAACAAGTGTCAATGCTTTATTAAAACATATATTTGTACTCATTAAAAATGCAACAACCAAAACCGTTAAAACTGAAAATAATAAAATAATTAATCAAAAAATCAAGTGCCAGATGGTCATTCGGTAAATGGCTTAAACTAAACTAGATTAGTACTTGTAAAGACCTTTTAAGCATCGCTATGCATTAAACAATAAGTACAAGTAGATGCAATTATACTTAAAGCATTACCTAACTTGTAGAGATGTGCACGGTATTCATACAGGTCAAAAAGTATATTTATAATATACCAGCCTGAAAAGGGTTATATTTTATTCTCAAACAAGTAATAATATTTTACCAAAACATATATTTGCATTTGTTTGTTATTGTTGATTCAGTTATGCATTAAATGGTTATTTACCAACGTTTTAATGGTATTTTTTTAGAGTCTTGTGTGACATAATTCAAGAGATCTAGTAATAATTAATTTTTACAAAAATATTTAGATTTACTGAAAAAAAAAAATTGTTTTTTAAAAAATAAATTTTGTCTAACGTTTGCGGAGCTGCTCAACCTGCCCCAGCGGGGTAAGTTGAGCAAGAATGTAAGTTAAGTTGAGCAATCATCAAATAAATAAATATGGATGGTACGAAACTTGGGTGAATCATCAATAAAACTTTCACTGACGTAAGGGTGGTTTTCTTTATAAACTTTTTATTTTATACGTTTTAAGGTTGTACTAAAGCATAAAAATCAAAAAAAAAAAAAGATTTAGGGATTATTATTTCAATATATGTAAATAACTTAATTTTATTTCAATATATGTAAGTATTTGTATTTCGTAAGAATGAGAAGATAAAAAATTAAATGTTAAGAAAGAGTCATAAAATATATATATATTTTTTTTTTACAACTACCTTAACTTTGAAGCTCGAATAAGAAATAAAAATTTTTAAAAAAATTATAAATAATGTATTTTATTATATATATATATATATATATAAATATATATATATATATATATATATATATATATATATATATATATATATATATATATATATATATATATATATATATATATATATATATATATATATATATATATATATATATATATATATATTTATATATATATATGTATATATATATATATATATATATATATATATATATATATATATATATATATATATATAAATATATATATATATATATATATATATATATATATATATATATATGTATATGTATATATATATATATATATTTGTATATATATATATATATACAGTGAGTCCAAAAATTATTGGCCCACCTTTGCATAGCTACTTTATTTTTGCTGGCATATAAGAACTATAGGAGAGAATTACTAAGTGTTAGTATCATCGTGTCGTCTTTTATCACTAGTATATATACAACAAGTTTCAGCTTTTCAATTACTTTCGTTCTTGTTTTATTGAAAAAACGGTATAAGTTTGTTTAAATATTATGTACAAAAATTATTGGCCCAGAGAAAAGAAAAGAAAATAATACTTTCTAAAAGTTCTAAAACTTTCGTGTTTTTTTCAGAATGTTATAGAATTGTGTCGACGCTATATCTAGAACCACCAAACATAGTATAAATACTTGCGGATTTCTT